AAGCAAGGCTTACAGAGAGCCCTGCACACATCCAGGAGAAGGTTAGCTGGGAGGCAGGGTAGGATTAGCCTGTCTGGCTCCCTCTCTGAGGTAGTGAGCTTCACAGGAGCCTCTCCTAGATAATGGGCAGGAGGTGAGAGAGGAACACAGCATGGATTCTGGGGATGGATAGAGGACAATCAGAATCCTTTGCCAAACTGGAAAGTGTGGGAGAAAATGCAAGGAGATTGAGCCAAGCTTGAAATCACCATTTCTCTCTGCCTCTGGTCTTCCCTCCCTTAGTCTATGGATAACATGTTCTCCCCATGGAGGGATGAGTGAGACCATGGGTCTATTCAGGGCTGTCTCTGGAAAAGGTCTTTGTGTGAATGACAAAGGTGTCCCTGGCATTTCTTTAGGAAAGACACCCAGTTGTCTGAGAGTCCAGGAGACCATTTCTTAGCACCGCCATGAACCCCTTAGCCACGCCCCTTACCTCGACAGTCTCCACGTCATGGCTCCTCAGTGTTTGCAGGACCTCCCTCTGGACCACACTGTTCCCTAGCCCAGGAACGATGGTGAATTCCCTGCACTTCTCTCTGCTGAGGGACCTCTTTTCCACTCTGCTTCTGCTTCCACGTGGGGCTCCAGTGAAAACCTACCACGTTTCTAGACCTGGTTCCTCTAGTGTCTGCTTAAAGGGATTAAGACACAAGGCAAGTTTGCAAAGACTCCTTGGTTAATTCTAAATCCTCGCCTAGTGTAATGATTGCACATCAGGGTAAATAGAACTTCATTAGGAAAGTGTTTTCACGATTTCTCAGCCTTCTTCTCACACCCCCTGCCAAGAGTACATCACCATTGCAATCAAGAAATCGTTTGCTTTATGTGAGACTGGCCTGTCTGTGGTAGAACCCCACGGAGTACCAGCCTGTCCTAGGACTCCGGGCACTGATGATGCTGTACTCTGAAGGCTCCAGGTTTGTTGCCCTGACCCATTTTCCACTCTGGTTTTATCCCATAGATTCCTTAGCCATGATGGTCCTCTCGGGTCATATCGTCATGGTGGGTGCACACAAGCATGCTCTCCTGCTGTGTGCCCCGTCATGGGTGTCAAGGATGGAGCTGGGATGATATCAATCCCGTTTTTTCGGAGGCTGTGTGGGTGTATCTGGATGGGATGGACAGCCCGTAAACTTCAAAGGGAGGAGGGCGATACTGAAAGATTACACTTCTGGGGGACCGCAAGCAGCTGTCATCAGAAAAGGCGATGACGTTGAGGATGCCACCATCAGCTAAAGGTGATCGTGGGCAGCTGAGGATGAATAAAGTTTTAGAGGAGAGGTAAGCGTCCTGCTGCGTTTTGTGGGCATGGGGTTATTTAACCCTGCAGATCACAGAAAGTCAGAATAGAAACTCAAGGCCGGAACTTGGAGGTAGGAACTGAAACTGGGGCCACAAAGGAATGGGAGAAACAGCTGCTTCCTGGCTCTCTCCCCACGGCTCAGTAGCCTGAGCCAGCATGGGGAGGGGCCTTACTCAGTACCACCTGCCCAGGGATGGCGTCACCTACATGGGCTGGGCTCTCCCGCGTCAATCATTAACCAAGAAAGTGCCCCACAGACTGACTGCTGTTCCGTCTGGGGGCAGAAAATGGGAGACAGACCACCGAAGTCTGTGAAACCAGAAGCAAACTTTATTGGGGGGTGGGAAAATTACCACGGGGCACAAAAGGTTTATCAGCTAGCTGGGACCACAGCCAGAGTTCAGGCTTCTGAAACCGTGGCACTGGGGGTGTGTTTGGGCCCCTTTTTAACATTAGGTACGGACAATGGAATTTTTACATTTTTGAGGTTAGTTTAGAGACATATTGCATTTTACAATGTTCACTTACAAGGTTTTGGCTTAAAGGTGTTTATAAAAATTCTGCAGCTTTATACCTCGGAACTTCACAGCTCTTTCTAGAACAACCTGTAGCACAGGTTTGGAAACAAAGTGAAACCGAAAGTCAGGAGCAACTTACTAAACGTTAACCTCTGCCCAGGCAATTGTGGGCTATTCAGGGCAGGAGGGCTATCGGTAAAAGCTAACCCTTGGCTGCTGACAAAGCTGCTGTCAGTCCTCATTCTCTAAGTTTATAATTTTATAGTTCTATATCCCCTCACCCTTCAACTGCAGGACAATCTGACGGAGGTGTTTTTTCTCAGCTGAGGTTCCCTCTTCCCAGATGACCTTAACTTTTGTCAAGACAGAAAAACAAAACAAAACACAAAACAAATGAACAAACAAAAAAACCAACCAGCATATGTTAGTGAAAAAGAGACAGATACATTTGGAGATGGCCAAGCTCTTGATGCTGGATTTGACTAAATGGTCTTGATAAACGGATATTTTCATCACGCTGCACTTTGAAACTAAACCAGGGTTTAGGTTTACGTTTTTTTGTTTTTGTTTACTTGTTTGGTTTTGTTTTTGTTTTATTTTGAGTCAGGATTTCTCTGTGTAGTCCTGGCTGTCCTGGAACTCTCTCTGTAGACCAGGCTGGCCTTGAACTCAGAGATCCCCCCCCCCCCAGCCTCAGCCTCCCAAGGGCTGGGATTAAAGGCATGGGCCATCACTGCCTGGTCCATACCAGTTTTTAAAAGTCTATTTTAAAATGAGGTACTTTATTTCAATCCATCGTTCCAAAGACAAACAGACTGTCCCTCTCACTTGAGGTCAGCCTCATCTTCAGCTGATGCTGCCTGACATGGTTCATTTTGTCCATCTTTTTTCTCCATTAATCTTCACTGAACAATTTCATTTTTATGAGACAGGGCCTCCTAAGTCCTGGAACTTGCTATATAGGTCATGCTGGTCTTGAACTCACAGAGATTTGCCTGATTGAAGGTCTGCACCACCACACCCAGTCCTTGACTGACTTTTTTAAATGAAAAGGGGTTGGGAGAACCATTTTGATGTATAAGAATACGGATGGCATAGGTCAGCAAAATATTTCTTTTGCAAATATTTTAAGTATGGAAAAGAACAGAAGATTGTTTTAAAGGAAAAATACGTAATAGTCAAATGTATTTGCAGTGCCTTCAAGGTCTAAATATGCCTGGAACATATATAAATCAAAGAGAAACATACAATTTATAAGGTAAAGTCATCTTCCTTTCAAAAACAATGTTTTTATTGATCTATGAGAATTTCATATGATGCATCTTGATCATATCCACTCCCCTTCCCCCACTCCTCCTAGATCCACCCCAATCTCCTTACTCCTCGTGTTTTCTTTCTCTCTTTCTCCCAACTACACTGGGGAGTGGGGCCTGCCCAGTAGCGTGGTCAATAAACCAAGGGTCACACTGTTAAAGAGCTCCGATTCGCCTTCTCCCGGCAGCTATCAAATCCTGCAGATGTAGATCCTCGGCTGGGGGTGGGACTTTGTGCTCTTTACCTAGCTTCTCTAGTGCGTATTTAGGAGGAGTGCACATCTCAGGAAGAGTTCAGAGGTCCTCTTGATTATCACAGCACTTGTCATGATCTTTCTCAGGTGACCCAGCGCAGAGTACATGGCCACGTCTGGCCTTTAGAAGCAGTTGGTGGGTTGTATAATGGCTTATCGTCGGCTCACTGAGCCTGGTTGGTCAGTTATATATTCACACTTATCTTCATCTGCTCTCTGGGCCTCCTTTCCTGTTCTCTTCTATGGCCACGCATGCGTTCTTGCTTCTGCTTTGGACTCCCATGGCCGTGTCCTTCCAGGAGGCTGAAGTCTTCTACTTAGAGTTGGTTTTTGCTTTTTTGGCTTGGATCTGTTCCACTTCTCCTAGGACCAACTTCAAGCACGTATTCACTTCCATATTCCTCAGGGTGTGTGGCGGCGCTCCTCGGGCAACTCTGGGAAGACAGATTGTGCCACGGAGGGTTTGCTGTTGTCCAGAACTTTGTCCTCCTTAACTGGCCATAGCATGGTGGCAAATATTACTAGAGGGATTGTAATTTTTAGCTAAAAAATGAGGCAGCAAAGTTTCATCATGGTTCCTCCATCCAAGAAATGGGGGGGGAGTGACCCTAGGAGAGCTTATATGAGATTTAAAGACAAACTCATAGGCTCTTAAAATCAGCATGTCTGTTATTTGGGGGATACTGGGTCCTTCCTGCATCCTGGCATTGCTGTTTTTATGTGGGTGCTTGTTGATGGAAGTTTCTCTCTCACCTGGTCCTGCAGACAGCTGTTCAGGCCCAGATAAACACATAGAGGCCTATATTAATTATAAACTGTCCGGTCTGTTGCTCAGACTTTTTACTAATTAGCTCTTACAATGAACCCATAATTCTTATCTATGATTAGCCACGTGACTTGGTGCCCTTTCTCAGTAAGGCATTCTCACCTTTCTCTGTGGCTGACTTGCGACTGTGTCTCTGCCTTTCCTCTTCATATGCTTGAGTGCTTAGTCCCCAGTGGGTGGAACTGTTTAGGAGGATTAGGAGGCGTGGCCTTGTGGGAGCAAGTGTGTCCCTGGCGTGGCTGGGCCTTGAGAAGTCGAAAGTGCAAGCCGCTCCTAGTTAGCCTTCTTGGCGGCGTCATTCTTGTGGATCAGATGTAAGCTCTGAGCTGCTGCCCCAGCGCCATGCCTGCCTGTCTATCTGCCTGCTCCCTCCATTCATGATGGTCATGAACTCACCCCCTGGAACCATGAGCCCCAGATGAAATTCTTTCTTTTAGAAGTTACCTCGGTCATGGTGTCTCTTTGCAGCAATATAACAGTGACTAAGACAGATTGTTTAAGAAGTTGCTATAGGAAGCCCTGTTTTAGGCAGGGAAACATATTCTTTGGTATACCAATACATGGCATAGATAGGTATAAAATACTTTATGAGTGATTAAATATTAGCATTTTGACTCCTTTCTGTTGCCCTTCCATCACCCAGCCGCAGACACACTTGGATAGAGACCACATGGCAGGCTTTAGTCTAATGTTTTATTTTTTTTAATTATTTTTTATTTTATTTGTACAGATGTTTTGCCTGCATGTGTGTGTGTCCGCTGCCCTCAGAGGCTAGAAAAGGACATCAGGTCTCCTGGAACTGGAGTTATAGACGGTTGTGAGCTGCCATATGGGTGCTGGGAATCAAACTCAGGTCCTCTGCAAGAACATTTAGTGCTCTTAACAGCTGAGCTACTTCTCCAGCCCTTGCTCTGATCTGTAGTGTAGGTGCCAGGTCTTCTGTGACTGTGACTCACAGTCAGGTGCTTCATCTCATGGAAAAAGAAAAGAAACCCTCTCCTCCCACCTGCAGTTGAAGGGCTTTGTCCCTCTGGAGCTTCTGGATCGGACATTTCTAGAAAAACCACCCAGGCCTCAGACAAGTGGCATTTCTCTCCAGATCTAGGTTCCCCTTCTTATATCCTCATATGGATCTAGAAGGTGATGGCATAAAACTGCTGTGCACAGGTGAGGGATGGTCCCCAGCCTGAGGGACAGCAGAAGGACGCAAAGGGAGGGAAGATGCCATCACTGTGCCGAGATGATGATGGGCAGACTCTGGTAGAGGGGTCCCTCACTGTGACCAACACGAGTGGGTCCTGCTCCATGGAGAACCCTTTGGACAACAGCAGGTGAGGCTCATTGAAGGGAAAGATGGGGTATTCAGAAAGTGGAGTGCACCTGGCTTGCGTGGTACTCCCCCACTCTGTGGTGCATTTTTTTTTTTTTTTAATCAGAGCCTCTTGTCAGAGGGAAGTCCTCGTGTGGCTTCCGTCATTCCTGAGATGTTGCTGATTGCTGTGGTGTTTCTGGTCTGGAAGGAAACACGGGAGAGGAGGAGATTACAGAACGCCACGGGCGAAGACGGAGAAAGGAGGGGTAACACTGGAGCCAACAGATCAGTGTCTGAGGGCTTCCGGCTGTGTAGGATTGAGATGAATACTGACAAACCGTGGAGCCCAGAAGCCTTACAGAAAATTACACAGTAGGTGGGGGCCTTGGGAGAGGGTTGGAGGGGAGAGGAGAGGTAGGGAGGGGGGCAGAGAAAAATGTAGAGCTCAATAAAATTCAATAAAAAGAAATACAATAAAAAAGAAATAAAGAAAATTGTACAGTAGGATTCAGCATAGAGAAAAATGACACGGTGTGGGAAAACAACCACAAAATTTTTAATTAAGATATGTTTGTGGATCTAGGTAACAGAAGAGGCACGTCAATGAATAATGATGTAAACTAGAGATAAATGTGAGCCTTCTGCCCTGAAAAATGGTTTTGGCTTTGCTGCTATAGAAACAGTAGGAAGAGCTTGCAGAGCTCCCCTCTCTCTCCTTACGGTGGAAGGTGCCATCCAGCCCATGCTGTGCACTTGAGGTCTTACAGGTGTTCTTCCTTTTCAGTGCAAAGGAAGTCATTGTATCTGCAAGGTGTCCCCCTCCTCCCAGTCTAACACCATGGCTGGGCTCCTGCCGTTATTGTCAATGCTCTGCCTTAATCTCTTCATGTTCATTTGTTTTGGTGAGAGGGGTCCTCCATCGAGCACAGCTAAGTAAGACCAAATGCTTGATACCAGCAGTGGACACATTGTTGGTCACCCGCACTCATGGTCTGGGGTGCGAGGACATGGTCTAAGGCCTGGGCGTGCAGGAACACAGGGTGGGAGGGACCAACAAGAGCCTCAGGAAGCAGCTCTGTGGGGCTGGAAGGTGAGATGCCCCTGGTTTACAAGAAAGTTGTGTGACTGATTTGAGTAATTTGTCGGCTAACAGTGAGACAGAGTCCCAGACGTTGAGGACCAGATAGGGTTTAGTTCACCTGACTGAAGGAATTAGCAGATCAGAGCTTTCCCGCTTAGCAGTGGGGCTGGGATAATGGGTGAGAACAGGGGATCCTGGATGGGTATTGGCAAGGCAGTGCAAGAAGCCTGAGGCTGAACAACTCTACTAGAACTGGAGTTACAGACACTTGTGAGCTGCCGTGTAGCTGCTGGTGCAAGAGCAGCTAGTGCTCTAACCCCCCAAGGCATCTCTCTAGCCCTGAGTAGTTAGCGCACAGTGAAGGGCTCCATTGTGGCATTTTCTTACACAGATCAAACTATACTTTTCCCACTGCCCGTCTTTGTCTCCTCTTCCAATTTTTTAAAATTTATTTTATTATTTTATGTCTATGAATGTTTTGCCTGCATGTATGTCTGTGAACCACGGCATGTCTGGTGCCTGCAGAGGCCAGAAGGCATCATTGCCTTGGAACTGGAGTTACAGATGGTTGTGAGCTACCACGTGGGTGCTGGGAACTGATCTCAGGTCCTCTGCAAGAGTAGCCAGCCAGTGCTCTTTCTTAACTTCCAAGCCATCTCTCTGGGGCTTTCCTAACCTATTTCTGGTTCCTTTTCTCCCCCTTTGTGCTGAGGATGACATCATTGTCACTATGAGGTCAGATATGACTGAGAGAGTAAAGTCACCAAGATCCCAACTACCAGAGCAGGTATTCAAATCCAGATCCAACTACTAGAGAAGGTATGCAAATCTAGATCCAACTACCAGAGCAGGTATGCAAATCCAGATCCAACTACCAGAGAAGGTATGCAAATCCAGGTACAACTACCAGACTAGGTATACAAATCCAGGTCCAACTACCAGAGCAGGTATGCAAATCCAGATCCAACTACCAGAGAAGGTATGCAAATCCAGGTACAACTACCAGACTAGGTATACAAATCCAGGTCCAACTACCAGAGCAGGTATGCAAATCCAGATCCAGCTACCAGAGTAGGTATGCAAATCCAGATCCAACTACCAGAGCAGGTATGCAAATTCAGGTTCAACTACCAGAGCAGGTATGCAAATTCAGGTTCAATTACCAGAGCAGGTATGCAAATCCAGATCCAAGGGAGCCCCATTATTTGACTGAGCCATCTCTATAGCCCTTGTGTTTTAACCCCATTGCTGTTGTATCTGTGAGCTCCAAGCCCACTCATCGCTGAGCTTTGATGACATGAACGTAAGCCAGGGGCTCTTGCTACTCATCTGTTAGTATGTAATTGTCCAGCCCTAGTGACCCACTTGCCTTTCCGAGGGTGCTTCGCCTTCAGCAGGTCAACAGCCATGGCAAGAGGCAGCAGCAGAACGGGCAGGGCCATCCACAGCAGAGCTATCCTGGAGTCTGAAATGCAAACCCCGGTACGTCACGAGACTAGGAAAACTTGAAGATGGCTCTTTCAGAGGTGCAGCTGAGGACGGGTCTCTCCTGTCTCACAGAGGCCAAGAGAAGCAGGCAAATTTAGCTTTGGTGCCTCCCCCTACCACTCCATTTTCCTTCTTCTTTTTCCAGTTACATCTCTACATCGCAGGACCAGTGGCGGAACTACCGTGATACAACATAATGTCTCCCAGGCTGTAACTACAAGGATTTTGAGGAGAATCAATTTCTAGTGCAGAAAATATCCACAACAGAGAGAGAGAGAGAGAGAGAGAGAGAGAGAGAGAGAGAGAGAGAGAGAGATGTTGTTCTTGGGTGACCCGAGGACAAACTTTGCAAATGACATAGATTTATTTTTAAAAGATTTGTTAACAATCTACCCTATGAGAGAGAAGAAAAAATAGGAGGAAGAAAAGAAGACAAAAGGAGGAAAATTGGGGGAGGAAGAGGAGGAGGAAGAGGAGGAGGAAGAGAAGGAGGAAGAGAAGGAGGGGCAGCAGCAGCCGCAGGCTGAGAGTGAGCGTACACTTGTAAGCCCAGCACTTGTGGTGTGGAGGCAGATGGCAGAAGTCCCAGGCCAGCCTGCGCACACCAATCCTTCCCTCAAACAAAACACACAGAGCCTACGAGTCAGTCTCAACCATCTGACACCTGGTTCCCACACCAGAGGATGGCATGCAGACACCAACCTGAGAGGGAAAACCATGCAGCCTTCTCCTCGCCCCAAGGGAGGCTGATGGAGCAGGTCATATTCACCACCGAGCCGTTTGTGACCTGCAGAAGCGTCTCCACCTGGAACAGCCCCTGGCTCCCTTGATGAAAGGCCTCGGAAAACGATGGCACAGCCCTTCCGCCTCTGTCCCTCCATTGCACCTGGGGCTGTGGGAACCACCCATCTGATGTACATCTCAGCTGCAAGCCTCCATCCTTCAGGACCTCCTGGGTGATCCGCGGGGTGGAGCCCACCGCTGGGGACAGAGACCAAGGAGGCAGAGATCAGCAACTTCCCTGAGGGAGGGAGGGGGCGGTGAGAGCAGCTTGGGGAGGATAGCAGCACTCAGGGCCAGTGGCCCCCTCTGGGAGCTGGGACTGGCTACAGGTTTCTTGTTCTGTTTTTGTATTTTTGATTCCAAAATCTTCTGGGAGGAATGATTTAGGAAGTAAGAAGATAAAATTTCTAATATATATATATTTGTAACCTGGACTCCCATCTCTTTCCTCCTTGCGCTGACAACAAAGTGACTTTGATCAGACAGGAGACTCGGGGACAGCATGGAAGAAACTAGTTAGGAGATGTTTCTCAAAGCAGAGGCAGAAAGCGATGTACAAGTCCTCCAGGCATTCCACGCCCCTGCTCATTCATTTAGACTGGGATTCGGAGAGAGAAATATGAAGGGTAGCCAGGACTTGAGCCTATGTCCTCGACGGCATTTGCTGGCCTTGGAGAGCTGGTTCTGGGGTGATTTTTGTCTGCCGTCCTAGGAGCATACCAAGACTTTATGAAAATTCTGTGTAGGTGGTAGATCCAGCTGAGTCCTCAAATTACATAGTCCCAGAATCTCAGTAGCACTAAAACAACAAGTCTTGCATGAAATTATGGGGAATATTCTCAGATTTCCTGGAACCCATGGCTGCTTTATGGAGGTGCTTGAGAGCCCTGCTTTCCTTATTGTTCTATACTTAAAATTTTAAACCACAGGGAATGCCTGGTACCGCCAGTGGAGCCGAGAACTCATGGTGGTGAAGCTTGTTATTTTGCTAAATGAATGCAGTATCAGACTGTTCTCCAAATTTTTTATCTCTGTACCCTTAGATTATTAGCACTGCTCTCAGACCTCACCAGAGAAGTTTCTTTGGGCAATGGATGGTCGTTAAGACAGAAGCTCACAACTGTCGAAGTGCGGAGAAGGAGCGTCAGTGGGGGGTGCTCAGGCACAAACGGGACCTCTGTATCCCAGGACCTCTGTATCCCGGGACCTCTGTATCCCGGGACCTCTGTATCCCGGGACCTCTGTATCCCAGGACCTCTGTATCCCAGGACCTCTATATCCCGGGACCTCTATATCCCGGGACTTCTGTATCCCAGGACCTCTGTATCCCGGGACCTCTGTATCCCGGGACCTCTGTATCCCGGGACCTCTGTGTCCTGTTCTTGCTACCCTGCCGCCCATGGCTAAGCGACCATCATGGAAGGGTGAGAGAGTAAAGTCGTACGAGCCAGAGGTTCGGGGTGGGCACTATACTGAAACTGTCTGAATGTGACAGGAACTCTGTGCTTAGACAGGGACTCTTGGCAGATGCAGTTGCCAACACAAGATCTGCACAAGATCAAGCTTTCCAGCAGGGAAGAGGGAGGGGATCACAAGCCCTACCCCTAGCTGAGGAGCTGTGGACAGTGGATGGCTTCAGGGGAGGGGTGAGTCAGTTCTCTTTGTGTGTGGGACCCTCACCCCTTATTCTCAAAGGGGCAAGAAGAAATTTCCTAGCAGAATGTTTTCCCAGGAGGATAGTGGCCTTTCCCTCTCCCACCCAGGAGATTCCGAGCACAAGGTCACTTAGTTCTGCCCAGCCAGCCACCTGGTACAGGCTGATAAAGATGGCCTAACTCAACAACAGTGGCCTTGCTCTAAGAACAAGGAAAAGAATGGGAGGGAGCAAAAGTCCTTGTACTGTGCCAAAGCATCTTCAAAGATTCTCTTTGTAGTTGTGCCTTTAAAAGCTCACCCCACAGAGGAGACACAACTCCTCTCTACCATGTTGTAACGGGGATGGAGATGAGTTCCAAACATGTTTGTATTATGCTGATTAAACCTTGCTTATTACAGTCTGGGCCTCCCTGATGGTCTCTCTCTGGGGGTTGTAATCTGGGCACAACAGTGGCTGTGACTCCTGTTAGGCTGACCACGCCCCAGGGGATGGCTCCACTCCCATGAGTATAGACAGGATAAACTGGAGTTGGTGGGTTATTAAATTAAAAAAAAAGAGGATAGGAAGTTGGGGGGTAAAGAAGGGAGGGTAGCTCTTGGAGGAGTTAGGTGGAAGGAGTTGGGGTGAATATGATCAAAATTCGTGGTTTGAAATTCTCAGAGAAATAGTAAAAAATATTGATTTAAAGACTTCAAACCAGCATGCCTGAAGTTGTGATCTTGCAGTATCTATGGTGGGGACTGCACTGAAAGTTCAATATAAACTTGAAAATGAATGCGCATGGTGAATATTTGGGGGGCAGAAACATCTCCCAGTAACTAGCCTATGTCACAGTGTTAAGCTGGAGAAGCCCAAGAGCTGCCTGGAATCCTTACCCATCACCTGCACATCCACACGGGCCTCCTGGTAGACACCGTCTTTTCCGAAAAGGCACCGGTATTTCCCATCATCTGAAGTTCGGGCATCGTGGATCCGCAGGGTCAGCTTTCCCTCGTGCACGGCATCTCTCATCACCACAGTCCTCCCTCTGTATTCCGCCATCTGCTCTCCCGCCGAGTGGGACCCGCCCACATGCACGTGGACTGCGGGGTAGTAGTGGGACCGGACCCACCTCACCTCCATGCTCTGGGCGTCAGCTTCAGGTGACAGGTGACACGTTATTTCTATGTTCTCTCCGACTCGGACAAGGATGGGCTGGGAAGGTCCAATCACCCTTGCGGAAGCTGTTAAATGAACCAGCACGGAAAAGTAACTCCACCAACACGGACACCTCCTGTGAGGTTCAGAACCCATAAGCGCCCCACGGGAGGTCTGAGGCTCAGGGTCACCCTTGGAGGAGGGTGGGACTCATGGTCTCAGGGTGCCGGAGGTCCTTGCTCAAGGAAGAGCCTGGCTAGCCTGAAGATAAGGCTAGTTAAAGCTTAGACTGAGCGCCAACAAGGGAACGATTTTATCGCTAAAGTGCTCAGCAGAAAAGGGATACTCCATCACACCCCATCACTGCCGATCTGGCTGACTTTGTGCAGAGTCAGTCCATGCCTCAGAGTTTTAAACTATGAAATCTATCTACTGCTACTCAAATCCTAAGACTGTTGTGCGATTAAACAAAGATTTTTTTTTTGCTGACCATGCAATGTGAGCAGAGATTCGGAGAGATGAGGGTGCTGGAGCCCACACCACCAGGGCTAAAAGTGAGCGCCAGGTGGGTGTGGTAACAGAAATCAAAGAAGCCCTTTCCTACACCAGTGTCTGAAGGAGGCTGTGGAGGTCTGGGCCTGCCATTCCCTTTCCGTGTCATCTTAACCAGCACCGGGAGAGCCTGGGCTCTCTTTCTTGTGGGGGTCAGGAGGTTTCCTGGTTGCTTTCCACGCCCTGCCCTCCTCCAGGGAGGGGTGTGCACGAGGGTCTCACTCACCCAGCTCTGTCTGGAGTTTCTCTGGAGAAAGAATAAGAAACACATTTTAAGGAATTTTGTCTAAAGGAAAGGAAAGAAACTGTCTTCAGAAATAAAGGTAAGCTTTACGGTTTATTTAAGAACTCAATTTACTTAAAAAATACCAAAAGCAGAAAAATAATTCTTCCCCACGAATCATCTGGTGACACTGATTTTACTTTTTTTCCCAATAAAAAGCTGTCAATTTTATCACCATCAATTCAGTTTGCTTTGGCTGATATTAAGTGCTGGTAAAAAAAAATACATACTGTTTTTATAAATGAATACCAAGTATGAACTAGATGACCACAAACAAGCATCACTTAGAATCCCAAACTGGGGCTGTATGGCACTAATCTAGTATCAACACATTTGCTTTTTAATGCATCTTACATCGCAGTACATCCAGAGTGTCCTAAGAGTCTCCATCCAATTCAAGGCATTTAAAGACAATACTTGTCACAAATGTGACACAATGTCACATCGGCTCACTCTATAGTAACATAGTAACACCTTGGGAGGCTCAGCCAAGAGGATTGCTGTGGGGTTGAGGCCAGCCTGGACTACAGAGTGAGACTCTGTCTCAAAAGAAAAACAGAAGCCTGTTTCAGATAGCAGACAGATAGGCAGGCAGATAGACAGGTGGATACACAGACGAAAGACAGGTAGATGGTAGATAACTAGGAAGATGGGTGGATGATAGATGATGATTGACACACAATTAATAAAAACTCAGAGAATGAAATTGGGGTTCAGCCTGAAGATCTAAGAAGCAAATCAGCCAGTCACTGACTCTTTCTTATCTTGACCTCAGTCTGAAAATGGTGATCCTGCCTCCAGGAATCTCAGAATGGGACTGAAACCGAGAGCTGTCTCCTCCCATTTCATAATCCTCTCTAGGGCTTGGATCAGAGATGTGCACCACGGGGATTAAAGTCATGCACCACCCAGTTTCTATGGCAACTAGAGTGGCTACTGGGATTAAAGGAGCATGCCATTGTTGGCTGGTCTGCAAGGCTGGCCAGTGGGGCTGTTTTTCTTTCCTGATCCCCAGGCAAGCTTTATTTAATAAAATACAAGTGAAATGCCGCGCCAGATGAATTATGGATGGATGATAGGTCAATGATAGATTGATAGATGACGGCGATTGGCAGATAGACATGTGATAGCTAGGTGGTGGAGTAGATATATGAATGATAGATAAACGATGGATAATTGATAAATGGTTGATAGGTAGATGACTGACTGATAGATAGGTAGATAAGACAGGCAGGCAATAGATGATACTGGGCGCTAAATAGGTCTTTATCCTTAAGCATGAGGATTTTTCTGGGCTCCCAAAGTCATTCAGTGTCCTTCTCTCTGTCCCTGCTCTAACTTCTAACAGCTTAGGCAACAAACCTCACCACTACCATATTGTGTTTTGATTGTTCTTGTTACTGTTTATTGTCAAGACTATAATTAAGAAGCTGTTAGAGGAACCATCTCATGCTGACTAAGCTCGTGATTGGTTCCCGGGGGTGGGGGGTAACTGGTATAGCACAGGAAAGTGTGTCAGTTGGAGGAATATTTTTATTGTATTTCCAGTTGGAGAACTATTCTTGTTATATTTTCAATGTATTGAATACCTGGGAGGAAAAATCAGCACTGAAGTAAAACACAGAACTTGAAAATGCCTGAAATCCTATGAACTGCCACCTAATCAAAATGCACAGGAAGCCTTTTATGAAAATGTTTATTAATTTTAACATATTATTTAAATATCATTAAAGAAAATATGTGTTACTGCCGAGAAGCCCCCCTCCCCCAACCCTTCATGGTGCCCAAGCGGAGCACTGACCTGGCAGGGCAAAGGCGGCCTCCTTGGCCTCTTCGAGGCCACGGCTGTAGATGAAGCAGGAATAGGTCTCTGAAGTATCGTTCCTGACCACTAGTGTGTCTTCCACATAGAACAGCCCGTCTTCACCCAGCACGTGATTCTGAGAGAAACTCAACATCTCTTCTCCCCACGTGGCCTCCCAATAGACCTCAGGCTCAGGGAACCAGCCCTGGGACGTGCATACAAGCTGGATCCCTCCTTCTCCAGGTCCCTCCATGTGGATGTTTGGAGAAGATCCTAGGGCTGGAGAGAGAGGGAGAGAGAGAGAGAGAGAGAGAGAGAGAGAGAGAGAGAGAGAGAGAGGACATATTTTAAGTCTAGGGCCCAAAGAAGGCATCAAGATCCTGAGTCCTTCACAGGGAGGAGGTGGGAGCCCAGGACCCAGAAGCAGACAGCGTTACCAGGGTTTCTTCACACTCAGCTGAGTTCTGGTTTTTTTTTTTTTTTTATTTGTTCCCCAGACTGTGTCTTTAACCTGACCACACTTTTCTTCAGAATCAGATGGTAAAAACGGAGTGGAGACAAACATGACAGATTCGTGGTACTGCAGAGACGTGGTGTGATTTATTTACAATAACCTCTGTGCCCCCAGCTTTTCTATTTCCTCTCTCACTGGTCTCTGTACTAGGTGCCTTGTCTGCCATTTTTGGATGATATCTGGACTCTGATTTAAATGAGATATTTATTATTAAACTCAGACATCACGTTCATGGGCTATTTTCATTTCTTCTGTGGGCAGCTGCAATTTTGGCATTTAGTAAAATGCACGAGAAATTACTGTGCCTTAACATATTTTTCAGTGGGGAAATCTAACTGATTTGTATAAATCATGAAGTGTTTTCTATAACAACAGAATCATTCACGTCTCTGGTTGAGCGAATAAATGAATAAGCTTTTCCTTTCACCCAGAGAAAACTCCTGACTTAACTCTAAATGTCCCTGGGCGTGACATGAGTCAGTGTGCAGCTCCAATCGCATCTCAGAAACACACGGATTCGCACGTCCATTTTGAATCAGCTGAACACAGTAGTGGGAACAATTGCAGCCATGAGTGTGAAGGAAAAAAAGTTAAGTGTGGCATTTTCTCCAAAGAACTAAAGGCAGACCTCATGTGTAGCCTCATTTTCCCTCTTCTGGGAAATCACCCAACGAACTCAAGGCCACACTCACTCACTGCAGAACCCTTCCCAAAGCCCCAGCTGTAAGACCAGCCTGGATGTCCATCTGGATGTCCACCCACAGAGGAGTGGGCAGAGAAAATGGGGGGTGAGTGCACAATGGTGTTTTGTTAAATTTTATTTTATGTGCGTGGGTGCTTTGTCTGCATGTGCATCTGTGCAACACGTGTGTGTCTGGTGCGTGTGGGGCCCAGAGAGGCACTGGATGCCCTGGAACTGGAGTTACAGGAGGTTCTGAACTGCTGTGTGGGTGCCAGGAATCAAACCTGGGTCCTCTGGAGGAGCAACAAAATGCTCCTAACTGCCGAGCCATCGCTCCAGCTCCCACACTGCTGCTTGTTCACCCCAGGATTGAACTAAGTTAGCCACGGGAAGTGGATGGACCTGGAGGCCATCATATTAAGTAGAAGGAGATTATGGGATGGGAGAGGGAGACAGGAGAGGGCAATGGACAAATATGATCAAAGTCCACGATAAATTTGAATGAAAGTGTGATGAAACCCATCACTTTGCACAAGGAATACAGGCTAATGGATTTTTTTTTTTTAAAGACAGGGTTTCTCTGTAGCTTTGGAGTCTATCCTGGAACTAGCTCTTGTAGACCAGGCTGGCCTCAAACTCATAGAGATCCGCCTGCCTCTGCCTCCTGGGATTAAAGGTGTGTGTCACCACTGCCTGACTGCTAATGGATTTTTAAGAGGTGGTAGTAGCAAGGAAAGAAACTGCACTGGCCAGAGAGGTGAGTGTCCCCAGAGAATCCTTCCCCTGGCGAAGCGACCGGGTTTGCCTGACTTCCCCCTCAGCATGAGAAATGGTTATGATGGCGTGGACAAATCCCGGCATAGAGGGGGAGTGGGCATGAATCCCAACACTAGCGAGAATTCCTTGGCCACTGACAGCTACTGGGAGGAGGACCAGTTTTCCGTAGGGCACAGCTCCTGGGAGGCTGACCAAGCTCAGTAGATGGCCACACACCCGAGGATATGGACGGACAGCACACACTGTACTGGATGAGGGGAGGGAGAGGAGGAGACATAGGTGTACAGGGAAGAAAGGGGGTGGAGTCTGGGAGGAGCTGGGGAGGGGAAGAAGATGATCAAAATACACTGTATGAAGTTCTCGACGAATTAATAAAAATGCAGAAGAGGTCTGGGGAGATGGTCCAGTGGTTTAGAGCTCTGACTGCTCTTCTGAAGGACCTGGGTTTGATTCCCAGCACCCACATGGGGCCTCACAATCACCTCTAACTCCAGTTCTGGGATATCTGAGCCTCCTCTGGCCTCCATGGGCACTGAGCACACACAGAGTGCACAGACACACACAGGCAAAACACACAAACACATAAAGTAAAAACAAATAATTCTTTTTTAAAAAATGAGTAAGAAAAATTGTGTGTATGTGTGTGCGTGTGTGTGTGTGTGTGGTTGAAAGGAGATTTTTCAGTAAGGTGAGTGCTTATCCTCCTTGTGGCCCGGGGACCCCTGTGCAGATAGATACTCACCCGCCACTCGGAGCAGCACGCTTGCCTCCTTCCAGTTGTCCCCTTCCTGGAAGCGGCACCAGTATTGCCCATCGTCACCTGGCTGGTTCTGGTGGATCTTCAGGGCCACACTTCCCTCGTGAGTGCTGTCCTCTGTCCACTCCACCCTGCCTCTGTATTCCTCCATCTGTAGCCCGGCCACCTCGGCTCCGTCCCGGTGCACAATCACAGGCGTGTCGGGGTCGGAGCGGTACCACCGCACCTCCATGTGCGCCGCTGTCCTCTTGGGGAGGAGCTGACATGTTAGCAGGGCATCTTCCCCGACTTTGGCCAGGATGGGAAGGGCAGGCCCCACTACTCTGAAGTCATCTACAGGACAGTGGAAAGGAAAAGAGCTAGAGAACGGGGATGCTTGAGGAGCCAGGGTGCTGGGATTCGGTACCAGGAGGCTGGAGGGATTTAATGCCAGTGTTTCAGTGAATCTGAGCATGGACATTTGTACATTTTCTGGTTGAAAAAAAAAACCTGTATGTATCCTAAAGTTTAAAAATGTGATCCTATGCTTGTTCCTTCCTAGTCCGGCTGGAGTTGGTGAGCTCCCATTAGCTCAGGTAGACTGTTTCAGTGGGGGTCCCCTTCATGGTCTTGACCTCTTTGCTCATACTCTCACTCCTCCCACTCTTTTCCAGTGCTCTGATGCGGGACTCTGCCTCTGTTTCCCTCAGTTGTTGGATGAAGGGTCTATGGTGATATTTAAGATATTCATCAGTCTGACTACAGGGCAAGGCAAGTTCAGGCCCTATTCTCATTGGGTGGGTACCGTGTTCAGCCTAGATATATTAGGGAGCAATGTTCCTTACCCTCTCGGAGGAATGGATGGGGGAGGGACGGAGAGAGGTAAGTTGAGGGAATGGGAGGAGGGGAGAGAGTGAGAACTTGGGTTGGTATGTATAATGAAAAGATATAGTTTGTTTTCTTTTTTTTTAAAGTGAAAAATAAAATAAAATAAAAATCTGAGCATGAATGCATCACCAGCCTTGTGGTTTGGAGGTAATTCTATGGCCAAGGAACCTTTGAGACCTGGGACATTTTTAAAGTATTTTATTTTTAATTATGCACCTTTGTGTGGACACACACGTGTGTGCAGACGAGATGGGCGCATCAGACCCCTGGGAGCCGGGGTTACCAGTGGTGTTGAGCCGTGTGCCGTAGGGACTGGGAACTGAACCCAGGCCTCTGGCAGAGCATTCAGCACTTGCAACAGCAGAGCCACCTCTTCTCTCCTGGGACTTTTACTCTGAAGCCACCCAATCTGAAGACACCAACAGTGACGACACCTCTGGGTTTCACTCCCAAATAAATTAATACGTGAGATGATGTTTCTACAGGAAATTTTATCTTGATTCTATGGCCATTTCTATGGGGAATTTTATCTTGATTCTATAGCCATTTTGAGTTTAGGTAAACCAACGATGCCACCAGGTCCTGCAGCCTTGCAGGGCCACTCATCCCAGGGAGGGAACAGACTTGCTTGTTTCCTTCCTTCTAGAGAAGGCAAAAGTCCAGGAAGTGGCAAAAGTGGGTTTCACAGAGGTGGGTTAGAGGCATGGTTTGTCTAGAAAGTTCAAGTCTTCTGGTCAAATTTTAAGTCATCTTCCTTGACATCTGAATATCATAGAGATGTTTGATAGTTCTCTATGATGCTGGCCTAGGGTCTCTATTGCTGTGATAAACACCATGACTGAAAAACAAGTTGGGGAGGAAAGGGGTTATTAGGCTTACACTTCAGCATTGCTGTTCAGCACTGAAGGAAGGTAGGACAGGAACTCAAACAGGGCAGGAACCAGGAGGCAGGAGCTGAGGCAGAGGCCATGAGGGTGCTGCTTACTGGTTTGCTCTCCATGTTGCTCAACCCACCTTCTTATAGAACCCAGGGCCAGCATACCAGGGGCAGCACCACCCACCATGGACTGGGCCCTCCCACACTGATCACTAAATGAGAAAATGCCTTACAGCTGGATCTCATCCAACCGTTTCCTCTACTGAGGCTCCTTCCTTTGATGACTCTAGCTTGTGTCAAGTTAACATACAAAACCGGCCAGTACAGTTGCTATGTTTAAGAATTTCAAGCGTCATTTGTACACCACATTCTTCCTCCACAGTCCCAGTAAGACAGACCAGGAGTTCAAGGTCATCTTGGCTACTGACGCCCCTGGGCCTTGTGAGGCCTTTTCTAGGCAGGGGGAGAAGCTGGGAAGCTTAGCAGAGAAAGATGCTTGCAGCCTATCCTGAAGAACCGAGTTCAAGTCCCAGGGTTCACATGGTGGAAGAAGAGAACCAGCAACTTGTCTTCTGACTTCCGCACACAAGCAGCGCCATGAACATGAGCCCCGCCCCCACATAAGTGTAACATTAAAAGCTAAATAAAAGTAGTTATAAGAATAAATTTATTTAAGTCAGACTTAAGATGAAATAAAATAAGTACGGCTCAAAAATGCTCCCCAGAACTTAAATAGAGCTCTTGTGTCATCCGCTGGTGGGATTTACATGTGACATCCTTACCCACAGGGTTAAAAGCACGAGATGAAAACTGCGCATGCTCCAACTACCGAGTCAAGCTCGCTTCCAGGTGACTCTCATTGCTATCTAAAGTTGTTACGGGCTCCCAAGAGATGAGCAACAAAGTAAGAGCTTTCCAGAGCCGGGGTTGGAAAGCCCTGCGTGAGCCCTGGACCTCTACACCCCGAGTTACTGCACCATCCGGTGTTGTGTATCTTAGCTACGCAGGGCGCCAGCAAGGGAGGAAGGGACCCTACCTGGGTGCTTCACAGTCAGCAGAAGGAAGAGCAAGGAGGCAGCCACGCCGGGCAGACTGTAGCCTGGGTAATCCACCATCCTCCCTGGAGCAAACACAGGAGAGAGTGTGGCAGTGATACCCAGCATGTCCTGCAGGGCCCTGCTTGCTGTGGCTTGTTTGCTTGCCCTGTCAACTCGATTCAAGCTAGTGCAGCCATTCTCTGCCTTTCTAACGCTGTGACCCTTCAATACAGCTCCCCGTGTGGTGACCCCCAACCATAGCACTGTTCTCTAGTGGCTGCTTCATAACTGTAATTTTGGTAGTTATGAATCATACTGTAAATATCTGTGTTTTCTGATGGTCTTAGGCCGCCCCTGGGAAAGGTTCATTTGACCCTCAAAGGAGTCGCCACCCACAGGTTGAGAAATGTTGAGCTAGAAGAGGGACCCTCAGTGGAGGAGCTGCCTCCATCGGATTAGCCGGTGGGCAAGTCTTTAAGGTGTTGTCTTGGCTAATGATTGATGAGGGTGGTCCAGCCCACTGTGGGCGGTGTTGCCCCTGGACAGCCAAACTGAGCAAGCCATAGGGGGCCAGCCAGTAAGCACTGTTGGCTCAGGGTCTCTGCTTCAGCGCCTGCCTCCAGGTTCTTGCTGAGTTCCTGCCTTGACTGCCCTTCATAGTAGATGGTAAGCTGTTAGAGTAACCCTTTCCTCCCCAGGTTGCATCTGGTCTTTATGCTTATCACAGCCACAGAAAGCAAGGGAGGACAGTGTCCGATGGTGATTAAGAAAGCTTAATAGACAACCAACACCAAACCCGTCACTGTCAAACCATTGTCTGTCTCTAGTCTGTGTGCTTACTGATCGCAGCTGACCCCCTGCCTCACGTCTGACCTCTCCTGTGAGGCACGTTTGTAGGTACTCCTGAGGCCCCACCCCCTGACATCTCACGTAGTCCAGGATGGCTGGCTTCTAACTTGTTGTCTAGCCAGCGATGGCCTTGAACTCCTCCCTCTACATCTCGATAGTACTGAGATCAAAATTCCATGCACCCGGAGGCAATACTGAAGAGGATGAGGCAGGAGGATGTCCAGTTTGAGGCCAACCTGAGCTGGAGGAAGTTTCCTGGTTGAAATGAAAAGCAGTCCCCAGATAGAGATGAAAACATTAAAAAAAGACTCAGCCTGGTGTGGTGGCTCACTATCATTCCAGCACTCAGAAGGCTGAGGCAGGAGGATTGCCCTGAGTTGGAAGTCAGTAAGGGCTCTAGAGTGAGAACCTGCCTCAGAACACTGCTCTCTGAAAAACGCACAGTGGAGATTAACAGGAAGTGAGAGCCATCGTGACTGGTGGCTGTTTTCTGACAGGTCACCAGCTGTTACACAGACCTTACTTCCTCATTTTAGTAGGCTTCTCCCAAATCCCAAGTCCATCCTTCACTAGAGACTCTGCAAGCCACTCACCTGTCTCTCTCTCCTTTGGGGGGAAACCGAGGCTCTGGCGTTGTGTTGTCTCTCACCCACAGTGTTCCTCATCCACATAGCAGGTGTCTAAAGGCGGGTGAGGTCAGGACTCGCTGGCTGGAGAGGCAACCGTGGAGCAGCCCCAGGAAGCAGAGGCATCTTTGGGTTGGGTGAAGGGAGATGTGAATGCTTCCAGCCTAAAGGCAGAGCCCAATCCTCAAGGTTCACTCTGAAATGAGACTCCTGTCAGAACAGCACACTCACCTCCGTCCACCGCAATACACTCAAAAGCGAAACTCAGAGGCCGGGTGGACTTTGGCTGGGCTCTCTCTGATTTCGCTAGACTTCTAGGCATAGATATAGCATCGGCACTTACCTTGTCAGAATGCCAGCGCTCAGGCTGGACCCTGCTCCACACCCTGTCCAGCAGGTAGGACCTGGCGCCTGGTATTGCCCCATATCACGGCTACCTTTGTCCTGCCCACGAGACTGCTGAATTTCTATGGTTCTCCACATAGGGCAGGCTCCCCTCGGAACACAGTCTGTGGTCCTGCAGGGTTGGGAGCATGACCGTCTGTTTATACTCAATATTAACCCTACTGAAGAGAAAACTAGATCTTATCCGCACTAAAGAGAAAACCGAGGGGGTGACGTTCCTTCCCCGAGACCAGAGCATCAGGCCGAGGTGCCCTGTGTGCCTTGGTTGCTTTTTTTTTTAATCTCTTTTTCTGGAAAACAAAAAGCTTTTAACCAAGAAATCTGATAAGGTTCCTGACACAGTGTGTAGGAGGCTGCTGGGTGCCCCGTTGTGTGCTCTTCTTCCCACAGCCCTTCCTTGGGGCTCCCCTGAATTCTTCCATGCTGAGGGGGTCTCTAGATCCACTCATCCACTCTCAAGAGCAGGTAGAGCAGTGTTTAGCTTCTTTGGAAGAATTCTCCTCATTGTAACAGTGTAGTAGCAGAAGCATACAAAACACTATGGTTGGGTTCAAGCTGAGTGTCCTCATTCCTTCTCTCTCAGGATGCTTGGCCAATCCTGCTCCATCTGGCACACAGCTACTGAATTTGGTGTACAGATAGTGGGTCTAGATGAGGCCCTGCAGGGCAGTATGGGAGGAGCTAATAAGAAGGACACAGGGCCATTTCTCCACCAGAGCAGAAGGGTTGTGCCTTGTTAGTTTTATTTTGTCTTATTTATTTATTTATTTATTTTTGATACAGCATTTCTCTGTGTAGTCTTGGGTGTCCCGGAACTCACTCTGTAGTCCAGGCTGGCCCCAGACCCACAGAAATCCACCTGCCCCTGCTTCCTGAGTTTTGGGATTAAAGGTGCGTGCCACCACCACCTGACTTTGTAATGGTCAGTTTTAATCGTCAGCTTGACCCGTGTAGAATCCCCTGTGAAGGGACTCTCTATGAAGGATTGCATAGATGGGGTTGGTCTGTGGGCAAGTCTGTGAGGGAGTAGAGGGTTAGTAGAGGTGGGAAGACTCAGTCCTGAGTGCTGGAGGCACCATTTCATGGACTGGATCCTGAGCTGCACAGGAGTGAAGAGGCAAGGGGAGCTGAGCAGGCATTTTACAAGAGCAGAGCAGCCGTGACATCACAGGGGCAGAGCAGCCGTGACATCACAGGAGCAGAGCAGCCGTGACATCACAGGAGCAGAGCAGCCGTGACATCACAAGGGCAGAGCAGCCGTGACATCACAGGAGCAGAGCAGCCGTGACATCATAGGAGCAGAGCAGCCATGACATCACAAGGGCAGGGCAGTCATGACATCACAGGAACAGAGCAACTGTGAAAGCCCAGGAATTTGCAGTCACCCCGATTTTCTGAGATTTGCCACTTGAAGAAACTAAAGAAAGCAGGGGCTGGGGGCTGGGTAAGAGCAAGGGAAGGAAGGGAGAGAGGGAAAGAGAGAAGAAGGGAAGGAAGAGGTGGCGGTCCGTTAGTCAGTGGTACGTGAGACTTGCAGGCATTTAAGTTTCAGAGTGGGCAGTTCTGAGCTCTGGCGTCCATCTGTCTGCTACTGACTCTGTACTGTTGGGTCCGTCTCAGTACTAAAATCCTAAAAAGTTCTGACAAACATTCCTCCGAATGTTGAATTTCTCACTTAAAACTTTAATTGACTTTCAAATTTACTAAGAGATTTTACAAGTAGAAATTATTGTTTTCAACTCACCAATTACTGTTTTCTGAAAATGACAAAATTGACTTTGCTGCAGATATAAGCAAAGTGCCTCCAGAGGAGCTGGGAGGACCATGCGGGGTGCGCCCCAATCCTCAAACTCCCCAGGACCACAGAGAATCAGATTCCAACCAATGCTTAATTCCTGTCCCCACAACTATGAACGTGCCTGGCCTCTTGTCACTTTGGCGCGCACCACCCGCGCACCACCCTGCGTGGGGAGAACCTCCAGGCACTCAGCACTCGTCCCGTCAGGGCCGGTCAGGCCGTTTGTCTTCTTGGGGCCATAGATTCCCCCACCGACCCTGGAAGGTTCAGCTTGAACCCAGAGCTTCAGATTGGAATACTGTCTAACGGGAATCAGCGGCTCCTTCTAGCCTCCTCTCTCAAAGCCGGCACATGGCTGCCCTCTCCAGAGAAGATGCTTTCCCAGAGGACCAAACCGGAGAAGTGCAGCCCACTTCGGACATTCAGGCTCACGTCGCACTGGGAATAAGAGGAGATATTCTATTTGAGAAAATAAAATTAGAAGTAAAGCTTACTGGATTTGCACCCCTGAAACCTATCCCATTTTTTTGTCCTTTCCCTTGGCTGCTTTCTTGATCCCTTGGCCTCAAGGCTCCATCTCTGTGAAATGTACCCCAATGACGACAGCTCCACGTGTGACCAGTAGGTGGCAGATTTTTCCAAGACAAGGTGCTAGTGTTTCAAGGTGGCCGAAGAGACATGTCACCTTTTGGCTAAGGTCTGAAGAGCTGCGCCCCCAAACCTCACAAATATTAACTTCCAGTTCATCATTGTATCTAATTGTGGTTTTGTATTTCATATCAAACTCAGTTCAGGGCCTGGAGAAATGGGGCAGGAGTAAAAATACGGAGCGCTGTCACCAACTACGTTCAAGGACCCCAGAGGAATCCCAGGACCAAAGCTTTGTGGGGGAGGGTGTGGGGAAGACGCAGCGATGGAGAGAGGCTGCTTCCTCGGCTTCAAAGCTGCTGCCATGTTTCCTTGCCCGGGATTCTTAAAACACGCCTCAAAAATGACCAGCTCTTCTCTCAGAGTCAGCCCAGACTCCAAGAGTAGGTCACGGAGGCGTGAGTCCTCCAACAGCTCAAGGGCTTTGGAGGAGTCAAGAGCATCCAAGGTCAGTGGGTGGCCTGGAAGGTTCACGTAGGGCTGCAGGTGCAGGAGGCTGAAGTATGAGGGACGCTGTATTCTCAATATTAGGGTGAAACTTCCTTGCAAATGCGTACAAAGTGCAGCAGTGAACAGGGAGGAAGGAAAATGACATCTCCGAGGCTATACTCCCCTATTTAACTCATATCGCCGGGATAGGAAGTAGTTGGCAGCTGTTTAGTTTCATGAATCTATGTGGATTTAACACACTGTGTCTGGGTCTAATTCCATTCTAAACAGGAAAACCTGACTCTGCCTACAGACCCCCATAACCGATAAACCCACTAACGTTCAGGACATAAAATCAACAGGCAAAACCAATAGCTACTCCTGCACACTGGCAACAGGGTTTCTAAGAAAGAAATCATGAAAGGAATTCAACCCTTGATGGTCCCAATTTGAAGCAAACTTAAAAAAAAAAAATACTGATGAAAAAAATTGAAGAAGTCAGACTTGCTGGTGCCCTGTATCCCTGTCTCAGTGTGATGAACCACAAGTTCAAAGTTGGCCAGTGCTGCAGCGTGAGTCCTAGGCCAGCCTAGCTGAGACCCTGTCTCAGGATTATACTACAGTTTTATGCTGGGGTTAATTTAGTGGAGGAGCACATCCCTGCATGAGACGAGGCCCCAAATTTAATCCGTAGTACTCAAAAAAAATAATGAAAAGAAAAATAAACCGAAGAAGATACAGAAATGAAAACCCTTGCTGTGTTCGTTGTTTCGAAGAATTAATATTGTCAAAATGTTATTCTACTGAAGACAATTTAATGATTCATGCCATTTCCACCAAAACAACCATGAGATTGTTCTATAGTTCTAAATAACTATAGAAATCAGTCCTTAAATTTACAGAGTCACGAGAGACCCCAGTAGCCACGACAATCTAAGGCAATGGAAAAGCAGACCTGGGTGTGATCCTGAGCAGCTCAGGGTGCAGAGGGCGATCAGGGAAGGGATGCTAAAATGGAAGCCAGGGTTTGCAGATCCCTAAAATGTACTGAAGCTTCAGAACTGATCTGGGTCCAGTGTGGAAGGACTCCGATGCTGGGAACTATGGGCAATCCGGGTGGGAGAGTGAAGACAGACAGACAGACAGACAGACCTGTAGCTGGAATATAAATATATCCACACACATTTGGTAATCTTCATCTGAGTCCCCTTTGCCTCTGAGGCCCTGCTCAGCCCTTGGGGAACGTGTGGCAATGTGAGTTTTTCCACTCTCTGTTTTCTCAACACACATTTTTGTGTGTGGCCCAAACTTTGTGGTCTGGGTGGTAGAGAGTACGATGGAGCTGTGTCATGCAGTGGGCAAGCTGTCACAGGCTTGGACATGGGCATCAGATGGGTGACATCCTCAGTACTTGTTCCTTTGTGTCCCGTGGGTTCTGTTGGAACTGACATCAGTGGGACTCCCCAGAGGCCTCTGACCTCTCTAAGCTAGAAGTCCACCCTGACCAATGCTCCCCCAGCCTTAGGGTCGCTTCTTGGAATATATTCCATTCTGTTCCTGAAGGGGCTATGACTGGTGGCTCACCACAGTTTAATGTCACCAAGGAAAGTCATTCAGGTTACTCCAGAAATCCCCTCAGACACATGAGAATCTAGAGTTGGGAGAACAGGAAACCACAGACAATGTTCAAATCTATTTCTAAATTCTGTTTCTAAACTTCCTCCCATCACAGAGAATGGGAACTCAAAGTCATTCTCTGAAGTCTGAGTTTAATGATCTCCTGAGCAGAACCAACCAGCAGCCGGGAACTTGGCAGCATCCTAAGTTGCTGAGTGGCACTGTGTATTTGGAAATTCTTTAAACTTACTACACACTTGCCAAGAGGATGGCATTGCAGAAGCTAGCAAAAGATAGATGCAAAAATTGTGTTTGGATTTGGCTCTGAAAAGGGGCCGACCTATATTATAGCATTGTAGCATCAGCCTCTCGGTCTGGAATGATCCCGTGGGACGCTCCTGCCTTCAGGAAATGGATACCTAACACTCAGTGGACAGAACTGCACTATGGGTCTCCTCATAGTGACCTGGGAGTTAAACCCACATGCCCAAAGTGTCTGGCATGATCAGACCATCAGCAGTCAGAGGGTGGCTGCCTTTGATCTGTGGGGGTCTTTGTATGGCTAGATAGGACCCACCACAGTGTGGAAGTGTGGAAGACCTTCCCTAAGCAGTCTGACATTAAACAACCAATCCAGCCCAGCTGCCACACTCATAGATACACTCTATGTTTTCATGTTAGTGATTTTTAAATTTATTCTGTCTTCACTAATGTATTTTAGACGGAACTTAACTTGGGATAGAAAAGTAAGTTTGACCAACATTCTCAAAGTCTTGAAATTTTTTTGTTCAGTTTGTCTAAAGACTCCCTTTCTGAATAAATTAAGAAGTTTCTTCTTGAAGAGACTCATTTCTTGAAATCATACGTAGAGAATGTGTTATTAAATAGTGGATTGCGTAGAACCTATTGGCTAGAATTCTTTGCCTAGCAACAGATGTGTCAACCTGAATGACTTTTCTGATTGGCTGAAACTGAAGTGCTTGGCTTTTACTCCCTTTCCCTTCTTGTTAATTCTGCCTCAGTCTGTGACCTCTTCTGACCCCACCAAACAGCAAGAAGAAAATGGCCACAGGCAGGGCCCTGGTGTTAAGACTTTTCTTCATGGCTGCCCTGATGAGCCCCCAGAAGTCATGGGCTATCAAAGGTAAGTGCTAAGCAAAGCAGAGCCAGGGACGGTAGACAGCGAGCATTTGCAAGACAACGTTTGAGCTGAAGAGCAAGAGTGACGAGCGTCCTGTGGGTCTGAATCTGAAGGTTATAACACAGCTATAGTTCAGGGGAAATCCTTCCTTCCTACGTGGAGTAGGGCAGACTTTGTCGAGCAAGACAAGCCGAGGCATGCATTGCTGAGGACCGCCAGCCATCATGGCAGAGGCCAGACTTTGGGGTGATGGAGAAGTCATTTTTAAAAGGCACCAATAAGGGCATATATCTGGGCTTTAATTTTTTAGAGAAAATTAATAGTTAGAAGTGCTACACAATGTGTGGAGATTAAGTGGAAAAGCATCCCTGAGAAGCCCTTAGAGCTGCTCTTGGCTGCACACCCAGCAGCTTGTTTTCCCCATGTCGGTCCTGCTGTATTTAACCACAGGCACTGCCAAATTGACCCCATAGGATGGGCAGGCAAGTGTGTTTAACTGATTGACCCTTGGGGCAGTGGTGGCAACGCCCACCCCTTGGTGTGACACAGCAGAGGCTGCAAGGTCAGAGGTCACCACTAGTGAGTTACACGTAGAGTAGCGGCTTGAGCCAGCGGAGACTACACAGCGGATTCTATCATCGTCTCAGAGGAAATACTGTGTGCTGGTGCAGACACCTGCTCTGAGCAGGGCTCTGCATCCAGGGGACACTGTCCATGGCTTTAGGCCGGAAAGAACTAAGTCAGGTGGAGTCTCACCTCAGCCGTGCAGCAGCCGCTTGGGCTTCTATTGCCCAGGGACTAGGAAGGCAGATGCTCTTCCTGTGTGGGTGTGGCTGGATGGAAGGGGCATCTAGAATATATGTTTGTGCAGAGAGGCCACTGTAAAATAAGTCCCTGGGTCAAATTAAAATCGGTCCCCTTACTCCTAAAGACAGCAGAGAAGCAGTGGTCTCCTCATCTCTCTCACGGTTGGTTATTCTCCTTGTCAATCATAATAGACCGAGTCTCACAAAAGCTTAGTCACACCCTAAGTGGTGTTTAGATAAAGGTCAAGTTTCAAGGTCAACCCAGGGATGCCCCTTCTCGCTGAGGAAGCTTTGGAGTGACCTCACAACGTTGCAAGTTCTCTGTCCCAACCTCCTGGGCACCTCAGGCTCCACTTACATCTCTAAGGGTCTAGTCTGTGGGGCTTAGAGCAGTTTCTGTCCACAAACTGTCAGCAGTGCTTGTTAGAGGCCTGAGGAGGTGCTAAGAAAGTTTTTGTCTCAAACCAATCCTGGTGGAGCGGGACTCCAGCAGAGCTGCGATTGGAAGCTCAAATACTGAGTAGATAGTGATTTGCTCCCATTACAGGGTAGGGAAAGGGATCAGGTGTCGCGCTGTGCTTAGTTCCAGAGTTCCTAATGAATCCTTTCAAATACTCTTCTCCCTTCAGAGAGCACAGCGCCAGGGGGAGAGCCGCTGGTGGCTGGTGTGCCACCTGAGTGATTTACGTCCACACAGCAGGGAGCCAGGAACTTTCTTTCTTATGCAATGCTGCTAGATTTCTAAAGTCCTGAGGTCATTAGATGTCCACTCAAAACTGTCTTCTGAATCAACCTGCCTCTCCCTCAAGGCTCAGGGAACTTTGTAGAAGAGAGGGCAGAAAGAACCTAAGAGCCAGAGGATGGGGAGAGCCCCGTGAGACCCTGTCTTTCAGGTGTGAGGAGTGTTGCTTACTTGAATGAACTTGCCGTGGCTGTGGTTACCTGCCCAAACCAGTTAAACAATCCAGCCCGGATTGGGAGGGGCTCTGGAGGCCCCGCCCCTCGCCTAGGAGTTGTTTGCAGCTGACAGCTGCTGAGGAAGAGTTAGGAGTTAGTTTTCTTTTGGTGTGTGTGTGTGTGTGTGTTGGGGGTGGCCACTGGTTGGTGGCTCATGCTTCCATGGGTAACCTCATACGCAGGCACACGAGGACAACACAAACTTGACTGGTGGGTTGACGAAGAAGGCTGTGCCTTGTCTCCCTCATCCATTCACCCTCTTTGAGACAGCTCCCTTCTTTCTCACCTCCCTGCTTTGCTCAGCATGGACGTCCATCACCCAGACCTTGTCTCCTAAACCCCAACCTTTCCTCTGCTATTCTACGTGTGCCAGCCCCCATTGATCCCCTCCTACGCACACACATGGGTTCTCTGGCTCCCTCTTCCATCTCCCTCCCTAACTTCCTTTCCTTTCTTTTCAGAGGAGCACAGGATCATCCAGGCGGAGTTCTATCTTTCCCCAGACGACAAAGGAGAGTTTATGTTTGACTTTGACGGTGATGAGATTTTCCACGTGGATACTGGAAAGTCGGAGACCATCTGGAGACTTAAAGAATTCGGACAGTTTGCCAGTTTCGAAGCTCAGGGTGCATTGGCCAACCTAGCTGTGGACAAAGCTAACCTGGAAATCATGATAAAGCGTTCCAACCACACTCCAGCCACCAATGGTACTCCCTTCTCCTCTGCATCCCTCCTCCTCCTAGCTTTAAGACAGATGCTCTGAATATCTCTCTCCCTAAGCTCGCTGAGACCTAAGCTTGCTCAGCTCAGCAAACCCAATCCTCAGGCTACAGGCTCAAAGATGTTCGACCCTCAGGGCTTTTCTGTTCTGGTCTTGGCTTATTCACCCACTGTCTCTCATGAAGTCATTGCCCTAATCTACACAGAGGAAGTTAGAAACAGGTTGGGGGTGGGCGTGGGTGGGTATCACACCACAATGCTGACTCCTAAATGATGGAGCTCGGTATTGGCTGGCATGACTCCTCAGGGCACAGCTTCAGAGTCCTGAGGTAGAATTGTACCATGCGCCAGAGTGGTGGAAAGGAGGGGAACACGCTGAGGGACAGAAAGCTGATTTGTGTTGTGTCCCCCACAGTGTCCCCAGAGGTGACTGTGCTCACCAACAGTCCAGCGAGCCTGGGGGAGCCCAACATCCTCATCTGCTTCGTCGACAAGTTCTCCCCTCCGGTGGTCAATGTCACCTGGCTTCGGAACGGACAGCCTGTCACCACAGGCGTGTCAGAAACCGTCTTCCTACCCAGGGATGATCACCTCTTCCGCAAGTTCTACTATCTGACCTTCCTGCCCTCCACGGACGATTACTATGACTGCAGGGTGGAGCACTGGGGTTTGGAGGAGCCTCTGCTCAAGCACTGGGGTACGGCACATCGGTTGGTTCACGTTAAGACATCCTGTGGTGATGGTGATGCTGGGTTCTGGACCCTTAGCACTCTCAGTGTAGGGATGGGAATAGCTCAGTGGTACAGTGTTCGCTTCTTATGTGTGGGCCTCAAGTTCAATTCCCAGCACCACAAACTAAGAGTTCAGTGTTTCACAACTTTGATTACAATGTATACCCTTCTCTTCTCTCATTAACAGGACTCCTCCACCTAAAAAAAATCACTTGTATGGGTGTTTGCCTGTGTGTATGTCTGTGTATCATGTTTGTGTCTGGTGCCCTCGGAGGTCAGATTCTCTCCAACTGAAGCTATGGACAGTTGTTAGCTGCCGTATGGAATCTGGGACAGAAACCCAGGTCCCCTGCAAGAGCAGCCAGTTGTCTTAACTGCGGAGCCACCCCCCCCACCCTCAGAGCGCATTCTCTTTATTACCCTGGTCACCACTGCTGTTCCCTACCACAGTAATTGACAGCTACTTTGCTTTATTTTTTTTTTTTTTTGCCCAGAATTTGAAGAGCAAACCCTCCTCCCAGAAACTAAAGAGAACGTGGTGTGTGCTCTCGGACTGTTTTTGGGTCTTGTGGGCATCATTGCCGGGGTTGTCTTCATCATCAAGGGTATGCAAAGACGGAATGCTGCAGACCGCCGCCAAGGAGCCCTGTGAGACGGCTGGAGGTGGGTTATGTGCAGTCGGACTCGCACAGATGTGAGGGTATTGGAGGGAAGTTAGTATATGGGGGGTGATGGAGCCTTTTGTTGGAAGGGATCAAGCCTTAGCATTGGCTGATATCGCAAACCTCCAGGATCCACAATCCCTTTTGTGGGTGTTCCTGGATCACATTTTGAGTCTTGGAAATTTTCTTCAGCTCCCAAGACCATTGACTCACTGAGAACACAGTGACCTGGTGACTTGGGGAAGTTAGTTCCCAGACTCAGGCACTTCTGAACTCGGTGTTCCAAGGCAGCAGCCATGCTGCCAGAGTCAGAAGTCTTTGGAGTTAGCCTCTTGGATCCGTGGCATGAACTGGAAATCTCTTGAGTCAATGACTGGTATTGATCCTTTAGTATGAAAGATGCTTCTAGGGGGATCTAGGAAGAGGCAAGGCATGATGACCTTTGTGCAAAATAGGGTTAGCAGTTCATGTTGGGAACCCAAATCTACACTTAAGGACTTCCGCAGCGTCAAATGATCAAGGGGGCAAGGAAGGAAGCTGACTCCCTGGTAACCGTGTGTGTTCCACCACAGGCGATGCCTTTAACAGAAGCAGAACGAGGAAACTTGCTGTGACATCGGCTGAGCCCCTTTTCTCAGCTGTTCACCTCAGCGGAGACTCGCACCTTCTGCAGTCTCCGGCCTTAAACCTCGACAATGGCTGCAGGTTCTCTGGTCTGATGTGTAGCTGGGGTTCTCTGCCTCCTTCCTGTGTTTTCTATCTTCCATCCTTTGCAGTCACCACCTAATTCCCTGACAAATATCATGACGTTCTTCCTCTGCTGTGGAACTCTCAGAGCACTGCATGGAAGTATCTTCTGCTCTCTTACAGCTTGCTGTTTCTCCAAACTGTGTTTTTTCCCCTACAAATAATAAACATCTTGGATGGGTTGTGAGGTGCTTTTCATGTCTGATCAAGTTCTTGGTGGAGAGGAGGGGCCCGATTAATCTGTGTGCTCCCTCCAAGTCTGAACGTGGAATACCTTCATGAGCTCTGGGATTAATCAGAAACCCCAGGTTCACCAGGGATACAGATGCTATTGTTTGAAGATGAGTCCTCGCCTGACAAACCTCAGAGCAGGGCTGCTGTGCTACAAACTCAGGATCAGTGTGGGGAGATCTGTAGGGAGCTTCCCTGCCTCCACCCATTTTATACACGTATGACATTCTCAAAGAAAGTTTAAAGAGATTCAGTATGCAAATAAGGTCAGCACTAACTGGACTCAGTGTGTATCTATGTGCACATGCATGCATTTATATATGCCTGCGTGTGTATGTGCCTGCGTGTATATGTGCATGCATGCATATGTGCCTGCATGTGTACGTGCATGCGTGCGTATGTGCCTGTGTGTGTACATGCATGCGTGTGTATGTGCCTGTGTGTGTACGTGCCTGCGTGTGTATGTATGCACATGCATGTGTGTATAAAGAAAGTCATGGATTCTAGAAGTGAGAGGAAGTGTTTGAGGGATCATGGAAGGAGCTGGAGGAGAGAGGGATGGGTGGAAATGATGTAAACATATAAATATGACATACTTGTGTCTAAGCGCCCCAAGTAATTATTTTAAAGAAGAGATTCAGAATTGATACTTGGGTCACATTAACAGAATCAGTGAACGCAGTCCACGCTAACTGAATCAGTGAACGCAGTCCACGCTAACTGAATCAGTGAACGCAGTCCACGCTAACTGAATCAGTGAACGCAGTCCACGCTAACAGAATCAGTGAACGCAGTCCACGCTAACTGAATCAGTGAACACAGTCCACAGTAACTGAATCAGTGAACGCAGTCCACAGTAACTGAATCAGTGAACACTGTCCACGCTAACTGAATCAGTGAACGCAGTCCACGCTAACTGGATCAGTGAACACAGTCCACAGTAACTGAATCAGTGAACGCTGTCCACGCTAACTGAATCAGTGAACGCAGTCCACACTAACTGAAAAATGGGGAAAAGCACTTGATCGTCTGGATAGACTCAGAAAATGAATTGTGTGAGAACTTAACATTTGGATTTAAAGGTTTTTCTTTTTCTTTTTCTTTTTTTTGAAATAACTGCTATCTTATGAAATCTGTAATAAAAAGAAATTTATTTGATCTGGGGAAAGCCAGCTGTCCTGCTTTTCCCATCAGACACAGGCACAGAACACTCGATGCTTCCCCACTTGGCACCTAGGGCACACTGTGGCATTATGGTGTTGGGCAGTGAAAAAAAATGGCAAAATAAATAAACAAAAGGTATTAGTATTTCAAAGAATACAAAATTTAATTGGTTCCTTTTTGATATAACCAGATACTTAAGAAGAAAAGAAATAACAGACAAAAGTATGGTGATATTTCGTTTGTGTTGTAACAAAGTTTGCCTGACTAGCACCTGAATGCAGAGCTAGCCACACTAGTCAGCCATGCAGGCCAGGCAGTGGTGGTGCACACCTTTAATCCCAGGACTCAGGGGACAGATGGATCTCTGTGAGTTTAAGGCCATCCTGGGCTACTTGAGATTGAATCTGTCTAAAAGAGAAACAGAGCTCACACAAAGGTGATCCCAGCATTTGGGATTCCATGTCTTAAATCCCAGCACTAGGGAGGTGGAGACAGGAGGGATATGGCTGGGCAGAGAGAGGAATATAAGGCAGGAGGAGACAGGAGCTCAGTGCAGGCTGAGGGTTCAGTCTGAGGATTCAGTCTGAGGTTTCGTAGAGACAGGATCGCCCTTTGGTCTGAACATTGGTAGAGGTAAGAACTCTCTAGTGACTGGCTGGTCTGCTTCTCTGATCTTCCAGCATTAACCCTTATATCCGACTCTAGGTTTTTTTTTTATTATTATTATTAAGAACAATTAGATTTCGTGTTACAGCACCAGACAAAGGGCAGGGGAATATAAGGTGGCAGAACAGGGGAGAGGAGGGGACGTCTCTCCAGGGACTGCAGGCCCACACACGGGATGGGCAGGCCATCAGGGAGAACAATCTGCAGGGTCCAGAGCCAGGAGGAGGCAGGTCCTGGTGGAGCACTGTCAATGGAGGAACTCGAGCAGGCAGGACATGATTTCAGACATGGAGACAGGAGAGCTCCTTCCTTCAGCCTTATCACCTCAGCTCAGCTCCGGAGTCCTGCAGAGCACAGGGGACAGTGGCATTTTCAGACCCAACTCTGCAGTGGCTTCTCTCCTCCTCCCCACAGGCTTCCCTGACAGTGTGGTCGTGAGCAAAGAGAACTTCTCAGGCCCCAGCCAAAGCTGCTTCAGAGTCCAGGCCTTCAGTAAGCGCAGGGAACAAGGCTCAGTGCAAACCGCCTGGCCGGACCCTGGCAGGGCCTAGCGGCTTTTCCTTCCCCTGTGCGTTTCTCAGCCTGTTCTCTGTCTGTCAGTCTTTCTCTTATCTGCAAGCCACTGCTCCTTGGGTTGCTCTCCAGCACCCACAGAGAGGTGCGTTCGGAAGCTGCTTAGACTTTGAGCTCACCTGGGGGACGGCCGTCTTCACAGAGGCTCTACCGACTCCCTGGTAACTAACCTTAGCGAAGCCACGACTCTCCCCTGAAATGCTACGGAGAAAGTTGGCCCCACCAGCTCCGCACCTCTCAGGTTCCTTGAGTAGACGAACAGCCCCCCTGGGAGGGACAGCAGACCCAGCACCAAGACCACAACTCCACTCAGCATCTTCTTCCGTGCCGACGCGGACTGAGCCCCTGAGGAGGAAGCCAGGTGTGGACTTTTAATCTCAAATTCAACACCCCTCATTGAGGTCCTGATATTCGGAGCACTAGGGGAGCTAGAACCGGCCGCTTCTGGGAAGATATTTCAGAATCACACGAAACAGTGGAAGACTAGCTGCAGCTATGGATGGGAATGCGACTATCTGGTGTTGCTTTATAAATCTACACTATCCCTTATAACGAAACTCACGACGTCATTTCTCCTAGCAGCAGCTGGTGGCTGCGTAGTGTTGCCCGGGTTCCACTTTACTCTTAATAATGCTGTCCGGAGAAGGTGTATCTAATTTCAGTTCCTTTCTGGAGTTGTGGTCTAAACCTTAGAGGTACACTTTTCTCTGATTCTTGCCAGAGAACCTAACTCATGCTGTGTGCTGTACTGGGGACATCTGTCATCACTGACACATCTTCACCCAGCCTATCTAAATGTTTTGTTTTTCAATGACTTTATATTTGGGAACATTACTACATAGCTCCCGACTTAATCAGCCCGTATGTGGTTGTAGAGATGGAACTAGGCGAGGAGTAAAAGCCAGTAACTTGGAATTCTACACATCTTTCTCTGTGGAATAAGCCATTCCCCCTTTCTGGTGGGCAGGGATTCTTGGGGCCAGAGAGAGCTGACAGGCAGAGGTAAGCCACGCCCCTCCCGGGTGGGCGGGGATTCGCTGGATCAGGAGCTTCCTACTCACTCCACACCACTCTGGCAGGGCTGGTCAGGCTGGGATGCTCCACCTGGCAGGTGTAAACCTCTCCACTCTGAGGAACCGTCTCCAGCATCACCAGGGTCTGGAAGGTCCAGTCCCCATTCTGGATCAGGCCCGTGGTCACGACCCCAGCCTTCTCTTCCTGGCCATTCCGGAACCATCTGATTTCAATCTGGCCGGGATAGAAGCTGCTTACAGAGCAGACCAGGAGGTTGTGGTGCTCCAGGGGCTGCATCTTTGCCGAATACACAGTCACCTGGGGCTCAGCTAGAGGAGAAGGGGAGGTGAGAATAAGTCACGTGAATGTTGCACCGCACTCACATGCACACACACGTGTAATTAAAAATAAAACAACTTATATTTTCAACAAGCTAAGCAGCATCAGGCCTAGTTAAAATGTGGATGGGAGAGCCTGCAAACCACTGAGGAAAACGCTGGAAACCAGAGCTGTGGACGGCGGGTGAAGCTCAGTGTTTTAGCTAGGACTACTATTGCCGTGAAGAGAAACCATTACCATGGCAACCTTTGTAAAGGGAAACGTCTAATTCAGGTGGCTTACAATTCAGAGGGTCAGTCCATTATCATCATGGTGGACATGCCAGCGTGCAGGCAGACATGCAGCTGGAGAAGCAGCCGAGTGTCCTGGATCTGGCAGGCAACAGGAAGTGGTGTGGCACTGAGTGATGCTTGAGCAAGAGAGACCACAATGATGCACTTCCTCCAACAAGGCCACACCTACTTCAACAATGCCACACCTCCTAATAGTCCCTTTGGGGGGGTCGTTTTCTTTCAAACCCCCACCCTTAGAGAAGGAATGGACTTTCCCTGCCAGTGTGAACCATGTAATAGAAACACAGAAATGAAAGAAATGGGCATTAAAAATAAAGGAGAGGTATTTCTTTTTATAATTTTTACATTTTAGTTCTACTTTTACATAATTAAACTTGTCCTTACACAATTTCATACAGGTACATAGTACATTCTGTTCTCCTCTGTCCCGCTATTTTCCCATCGCTGACCCTCCACCACGAATCTCTCTCTTTTGCACATTTGTGTCTGTTTTGTTCTGAAATATTTGGCAACACACACACAAAAAAAAAAAAAAACAACAACAGTCTAACAAATTGAGTGTGTGCTAACCCGCCTCACCCGAAGAAGAATCTGCCGCAACTTCGTTATGAGCGGTACTACATAAAACAGCAGCACAGTGCATTAGGAACAAAATTGTGCCTAAGAGCCAGCTTCGCATCATTGAAAAGATTTATCTTCATTTCTTTATATGTGTGTTTGTGTGTGAATGCCACAAATGGAGGACAGAAGAGGGCGCAGGCCCTGGAGCTGGAGCTACAGGCAGTTGTGAGTGAGCTACCTAGTTTGGGTGCTGGAAACTTGAACCTGGGTCCTCTGGAAGAGCAGCAAGTGCTCTTAACCCCTGAGCCGTCTCTCTAGCCTGTCTAACCATTTCAATGATGTAAAAATACATATGCCAAGAAAAAAAAAAACAAAGTCTTTATTTATATTTTTAATTATGTGTGTACATGAGTGTGTGAGTATGTGTTTGTGTTTGTGTGCGTGCATGCACACGTGTGTGTGTGTATGTGTGTGTGCAATACTCATGGGGGCAGTAGAGAGACTCAGATCCCCTGGGGCTGGAGTGGCAGGCTTCTGTGAGCCGCCCACCATGAGGACTGAGAACTGTGAGAACAGAACATGACCTGAACCTTGAACTCTCTGCTGCCGCTGGAGGACCTTTTGACCAAAAAGGTTTCAGAGTCTCTCTCTCTCTCTCTCTCTCTCTCTCTCTCTCTCTCTCTCTCTCTCTCACACACACACACACACACACACACACACACTTTCACCTGTGCACCTCCAGCCCAATGTTTACCTTTTAAGTTCAACAGGAACCAATCAACAAGTTGGTAGTTATTTCTGCACTTGTCCACTAAGGCCCGATAATTGTCCAGGACATCCTTCTGGCTATTCAAGTCCTCAGCTATGGGCTTCCCCAGCTCCGTCACTGCCAGGAACTTCCCAAAGTCACTGTCAAAGCGTGCAAACTCTTCCTGGTTATAGATGAATCTGGTCACAGTCCTCATGCGCTCCGTCCCGTTGAGGTAATGACACTCACCCTTCAGCTGCAGCAGGAAATGTGCTGTGGGCACAGGACACACTATTACAGGCTGTGTGGGAGGAGACTCAAGCAACGTCCCAAACCGGGAGGTCAGCGAAGGGAACTTTGACGCCTGCAAGGAACTCGCCTCCTGTACCCTCTAATTCCTAACTACGCCACCACGAGTCCATCTTGAACAACTGAAGCAGATGGAAACTATTGGGTTTCGTTATTGCTGTTGCAATAAAATATCCTGACAAAGATAACATAGCCAAGAAAGGGATTGTTTGGATGATAATTTCAGGGTATAGTCTACGACTGACAGCAAGCCAAGGCGAGAACTTACAGCTTCTTGTCCACAGGGAGGGTCAGAGAAAGAATAAGCACGTGGATCCTCACGTCTCTCATCTAGCTTCCTCCTCTCTGATACCCCTATCTTCAGGGCCCCCACCTAGGGAATGGTGCCACCCACAGTGGACTGAGTCTGCCTACATCAGGTAACAATCAAAACAGTTTCTCACAGACATATCCATGGGCTATCCTGATATAGATAATTCCTCATTAAGATGCTCTTCCCATGTGATTTAATTCGAGTTGTGTCAAGTTGATAGCTAAAACTAAACATCACAAAAACCACGTGGGACAGGGACCCCCTTCTCAACCACCTGCTGCCCCTTCTCATGCCCACAGGTCTTCACCCTCACCTGAAATAGCACCCACCTAGAATCATCTATAAAACAACCCTGAGTATTGGCCTTGTGGCAGGCCTTGCTGACCCTGGGAATCCTACGAGGGAAAACTCAATCTCCTTTCTGCTCTTGGAGCTAAAAATTGTGTAAGTGATGAAATTATCTAAGGATGAGAAAATTCAAAGAGAGGCAGAATAACAAGGCAGATGCTAATGACACGACACAGGAGGACACTAGGGGTGGCTTTTCAGATATGTAAATGGATCCGCTAGCTGTTGTAGAGGCAGATCCCTGGGACCATGAGCGGGTGGGATGGTAACACCAGCACAGAAGGAAACAACAGGCAGTTCTTGTCTGCAAATATCCCTGTGCCATCACCCTGTGCAGTCATCCTGTGCAGTCACCCCTCTGTCTACATCCTGTGCAGTCACCCTGTGCAGTCACCCTGTGCAGTCATCCCGTGCAGTCACCCCTCTGTCTACATCCTGTGCAGACACCCTGTGCAGACATCCTGTGCAGTCATCCTGTGCAGTCATCCCTCTGTCTACATCCTGTGCAGACACCCTGTGCAGTCACCCTGTGCAGACACCCTGTGCAGTCACCCTGTGCAGACATCCTGTGCAGTCATCCTGTGCAGACACCCTGTGCAGTCACCCTGTGCAGTCACCCTGTGCAGTCACCCTGTGCAGTCACCCTGTGCAGACACCCTGTGCAATCACCCCTCTGTCTACATCCCGTGCAGTCATCCCGTGCAGTCATCCTGTGCAGTTATCCCGTGCAGTCATCCTGTGCAGTCATCCTGTGCAGTTATCCTGTGTAGTCATCCCTGTTTACCCTGGAACTCACTCTGTAGACCAGGCTGGCCTTGAACTCAGAGAAATCTGTCTGCCTCTGCTTCCCAAGTGCTGGGATTAAAGGTGTGCAACCCCACCACCCAGTTTACACAGACATTCATTTCCATATTCTATAGTTCCAGGATGGCAGAAAAGCCCCAAGTCTCTGCACTACTGTGCTTAGCCTGAGGGGCTTAAATAAAGTCTCTTCCACTTTCTGCATCTCTAGAGTGTGGATAACCATGCCACAAGCCTAAAATTGTCTAGCTATGGCCTAAGCAACTCAGCAAAGGTCTTCACACCTTAGGACTCCAGGCCACAGCTTCTGGTGCCCAAACCCCTGATAACAATTAGCTTGTCCCTTCAGATCTACAGAGACAGACCATCTGAGTAGATAACGCCACCAATGTTGCTAAGAGTACCACAAACCTCAGTACCAATGGCAGCTACATGATGAAGTACACAGGGAAGTCCTCTCCTCTCCCCTGTGCCCCACAGCCTTAAGCCTGTGGTTACTGATGCCACAGACCCCAGAACCATGAGACCAGCTGTGTTCAGTTCTCAGGACCTAGGGAAATCCCATTCATATTTCTACCATTGTAGCCACTCAACCTTTAGGCCCCTTGTCTCCTGCATCCATCCTGAGCATTCTCGGGAGAGGCTGCTGTGTCTTGAGGGTAGGACCACTGGTGTCACATGCCTTGGTGTTGCTGTGCCTGTGCAGAGAGGCTTCAGCTCAGTGTTCTTCATATCCTACCCCACGCTGCCATCAGGGCTGGACTCTTGAATAGTCTCAGGCACACAACCATGGATGCCAACATCCACTATAAAGTTGTAAACCTTTATGAATCCCTGAAGGTTTTTACTGCGGTGATGAAACACCATGACCAAAGCAATGTGGTAAGGAAAAGGTTTATTTGGCTTATGTTTCCACACCTCTGTTCATCTTTGTGGGAAGTCAGGACAGGAACTCAAACAAGGCAGGAACCTAGGAGGCAGGAGCTGATGAAGAGGCCATGGAGGGAGCTGCCTACTGACTTGTCCCTCATGGCTTGTCCAGCCTGCTTTCTTACAGAACCCAGGACCACCAGCCCAGGGATGGCACCACTCACAATGGGAGGGGCCTTTTCCAATCATTCACTAATATTCTACAGACTTGCCTTTAGCCCAATCTTATGGAGGCATTTTCTCATTCGAGGTTCCTTCCTCTCTGAGAACTCCAGCCTGTGTCAAGCTGACATAAACTCAGGCAGCACAGTGCATGCAGACAATGCTGTCTTAATCAAAGATGGGGAAACTGCACCGAGTACACTTTTGAGTTCTACTGTAACCAAGCTCCAAACATCCACTGCCCTGACTTTCTAATGCCTACTGTCTTAGTGTTCTATTGCTGTGAAGAGACACCATGACCACAGCAACTCCTATAAAGGAAAACATGAAATTGGATGGCTTACAGTTCAGAGGTTCAGTCCATTATCATCATGGTGGGACACAGCAGTGTGCAGGAGGACAAGGTGTTGGAGCTGAGAGTCCTACATATTGGCCAACAGGCAAGGGTAGGTGGTCTGTCTCACTGAGTATAGCTTGAGCATAGGAGACCTCAAAGGTCACCCCCATAGTGACAAACTTCCTCCAACAAAGCTATGCCTCCTGATGGTGTCACTTCCTATGAGCTTATGGGGGCCAATTACACTCAAAGTACAACACCTATTTAAATGAGAAAAACAACTTATTACAAAATCCAGTAACACTGGAAGAAGCAAATGTTACACTGGTTGTACACGCACCAGAGAAAGAGCACAAGAGCCAGTAAAGGAAACGCAACACCTCTAAAATCACAATTCTCCATAGGCAGATCTCTGATGGAAGCATATGGAGTGTCTGGGAATTCAAAATAATGACACAATTACAAGGTACATTCAAATAAAAGAAGCTCAAAGAATCTCCACTAGCTCTCGCCAAAATAGTCCCTCACTGAAGCATATCATACCCAAACAAGATTGTTGGAAGTACCAGAAAACATAGACTAATACAGCACTCTCAAAGATGGGGCTGAGTCACCAGGAGAGAGGGAATACTGTGGGACACATGCGCACGCGCGCGCGCGCGCACACACACACACACACACACATACACACACACACACACACGTGGTGGTAGGGGAAATGGAGACAGAGACCAAATCAGAGAGAGACAAACAGACACAGAGAGACAGAGAGAACTGTTCTTAAAACAAGAGACAACTACCAATTTACATAAAATAAATGCCCCTTAGACTTATATCAGATTTCCTGGAAAAACCCTTATAGGCTTGAAGAGAATAGGAAAAATTATTGAAAAAAAAAAGCTCCCTGTTGACTAAGACTATTATATACAGAAAGACTGTCCTTGTTTAAAAAACATTAAGAGAACTAGAAAGAAACAAAAATAGAAAGCACAAAGAACATAATGAAATTTACAGAACGACGTTCCTACCTTATGATAAGAACCTTAAATAAAGGGCGGGGGAGAAGGCTCAGTGAGTAACACTGAATAACAGTGAGTAACTGAGTAACACCGAATGACAGAGAGCAACAGCGAGGAACAGCACCTGCCAGCAAGCCTGATGAAACCCACATGGTGGAAAGAGAGAACTTACCCCTGAAAGTTGTCCTCTGACCTCTGTGCATACAGCAAGGAAAAAAAAAAAAGGAGGGAGAAGAAGGAAGGGAAGGAAATGTAATAAAAAATAACTTTAAATACAAATGAATTAAATCCATCAATCAACTAATATTTACTGGCTGAAAGAATAGGAAAAATAAGACTCAACTATGTACTGGGTACAAGAAACTCATCACGTTTACAAACAGGTTACATAGACTCTAGGAATGAAGGCTGGGAAGACACATCACACAGATGGAAAATAAAAGTGAGACAAAGTAACAGTACTTTGCCTGGTCAAGCAGACGTTACATTTTGAAAAGTGAAAAAAAAAAAAACAAAGAAGGTCGTTGCATATTGACACAATGATACATTTAACAAAGTGGCTTATTAGATATAAATAGGCACGTATCATGAACCAGATAGGGGAACACCATAATATAGAAATCAAATATTAATAGATCTAAAGAGAGAAATAGATCTAAATTAGAAATACATTAATAAATAGGGTTGTCAACATGCCATTCTCCTCTAGGAACAGAGGATCATCAAGGAAACTACTGAGTTTAACTAGAGGGCACAGTCAATGGGCCTGACGGAAGTCACAGAACACCATCCAGGGGCAGCAGGGCACACAGCTGTCCTAGCAACATGTGCACACTCCCGAGGACAGAGAACATGGAGAGCCGTAAATGAGGGCTCAATAAATTTTGCATCAAAATTTATTACTTGCATCAAAATTATGTCAAATGCATCATCCATCATCCCAGCCCAGAATAAAGTAAAACTACAATAAAAACAATTAGGAAAGTGGAAACAGTAGAACCAGGGGTGGATTACACACGTCCCTAAATAAGCAATATGTAATTGAAGAAACTAA